CGTAGGTTTTGAAGCCTAGCAAAGTTTTCCCTTATATAATGAGTAGGAATGAACTTCTTCTTTAATAAAGCTCTCATCTTGGTCCATGTTTTAACAGCAGCCTTGCCTTCTCTTTTGCGCTTGGTGGTAGTGTTAGTCCACCACGTAGATGCGTAGCCTCTGAATTTTAAGGCCACAAGCTTGACCTTCTTATCCTCCGTTACCTCGGTATAGTCAAAGACACGTTCAATCGTCTCTAACCACTCTATGAAATCATCGGGTCATCTTTGCCATCAAAAGTTGTGATTTCAACTTTGAAATCAGTAGATGACTTCTCTTGGTTGTTTCTCCTTGTGGGACAAGGATGAGTTTCTGATTGGGCTTCTTCCTCTTGCTCATCTTCACTTTCTTCAGGGGTATTCATCATATTCATTTTGAATTTGGTGAGTTGAGCAATCTGCTTAGCCAAGTACTCCACTTGGGTCTTGAGTTCTGTATTCAAGGCCCACAGCTCTTCATTGGTGATGATTACAGAGGTGTTTGACATCTTGAAGGGTGTGAAAGAAGAGGAAGAGAATGGGGCAATAGCTAGAATGGTAAGAAATGATGGGTGGTTTTGGGTGAAATATGGTGGCCGAATTAAGAGAGAAGGGTGTGGTGATGGCAGCAAGAAAAAGGGGAACATGGTTGTGGTGTTAAGGTGGGCTTTGGTGTGGTTTTAAGGGAGAGGCAAGGGAAAGGTAAGGGTGGTTTTTAGGGGTCTCTTTGGCCGAAAATACCAAAGAAGGAAGAGAAAAGAGAGATGGTGTTGAGGCTGATCTTTATGGCAGTCGCAAAGAGATAAGGGGGATGGTTTTTTGAAGGGGTGTTTTTGGAGTGGTCTTGGTCGAAATAACCAAGGGGAAGGGAAAGGTTTATGGAAGTGTATTTGGCCCTTAGGGATGTTGAAACACAATGCTCTGATACCAAATGTTATACCCAAGACCTGGGGTCTTATCAAGTTGCTATTTTAGAGAAGGAATTATGGGGAAGTGAGGGGGAAATGGGGTGGCCGAAATATTATGGGGCAAAAGGGGAGTTCTTTTGGTGTTTTTTTTATGAAGAAAAAGAAGAGGTTGTTTAGGAAGAAAATATGGGGAGGCACGAAATGGGGGGAATAAAATTGGAGGGGATAAACCAAGTTGATGTTAAGAGATATGACACACTCTTATCTTAACTTGGGGTTTGAATCTAGAATTCAAATAAGATATTACACACTTATTTAAATATCTAGAACCTAAAACTCACACTTAAGATAACCACTCTTAAGATATAGAATTAGGAATTTGGCTTAAA